TGGAAGTCATAGGCCAGCCTTGTACAGGTTCTTGATTCCAGCAATTTTAGTTATCCAAAGCATGTCCATTTCTTCATTGAACTGTATAGTTATTAAGGCTTCCTGTCAGATCATTTGAGTTGAACTCTGATTTAATATAAATTCCTATTGATTACTTTCTTACTCTCTGAGATGATGCCTGGCCTTCCCTGCCTGGCCTTCCCCGCCTGGCCTTCCCTGCCTGGCCTTCCCCTGCCTCGCCTTCCCCGGCCTCATCTTCCCTGCCTGGGCCGCGGGCCCTTCTGCACTGGGACCGGCTCATCTTTATAAAAGACACCTGCCTGGGAGCGCACAGCAGCCTCCCAGCAACACAGAAAGAGTAAGTGACTCAGTCAATCTAGTACCCTTCTTCCTTCCTTCTTCCTTCCTTCTTCCTTCCTTCTTCCTTCCTTCTTCCTTCCTTCCTTTATTTGTTTATTTAAAATATGTATTTTTTTGATTTTAGAGAATGAGAAGGGAGGATAGAGAATAGAAACATCGATGAGAAAGAACCATCGATTGGCTGCCTCCTGCACACCCTCTATACCCCCTACTGGGGATTGAGCCCACAACCCGGGTATGTGCCCTGACCGGGAATCGAACCGGTGACCTCTTGGATCCTAAGTCAATACTCAACCACTGAGCCAAACCGGCCACCCCACTTCCTTCTTTTAAGGTTGAGGAAGCTGAGCCCAGACAAGGAAGGAGACAGACAAATGAATGGAAAAGCAGGACCACCAAAATCCACGCCCCTCCAACTGTGAAAAGAGACCCGCTAAAACCTGAGGACAAAGCTCTCCTCTTGGGTCGGCACTAGACACTCCCGAGAAAGGTCACATTACCCGCCTTTTGAAGATCAGAGTCTGGGGCTCAGAGAAGTCAAGTAACTCATCCAAGACCAGCCAGCTGGTAAGAACAGAACCTAGTAATAGGAACGCTCCCTGAGCAGGTCTCAAGAGGAGCTCAGTTACCTGAAGGTAACACCACCCACACTGCCTCTGCGTGTTCAATGAGCACCTCGTAGGAACATAACCCCAAGCAAACCCTCAGCGCCCCGCGCCTCAGCGGGGAGCACACCGCACTCACACAACGACCTGCTGTCTGGCCAGGTAGCAGCTTACTTTCCTTGTTAACAGTAAAAACAGCAGAACAAAAAAAGCACCCACGTGACCACCTTTGTAAGCAACCATTGTTAGCGG